TTTTCTCGTTCATAACGGTAAATCCACGATTCATCACCACTAACAATGCTGTACACATTTTTTGAGTTTCCAGAATTGCAACGGTCAAACGTTTTTTGACACCAATTAACCCTGGGTGCTTTCTGCTTTTCAGTCAACAGGTGGGGTATCCAACGAGAAACTAATTTTCTTACTCCTAATTCTTCATGTAAATTTTTTTGAATTGAGGTCTTTGAGATGTTCAAGGACGCCTCAATCTCGCGATATGTCACATGTCTACCTTCAATGATGAGTTTGCGCACGGCATCGACGTTTTCCTGGGTGACTGCCGTTTTTGGTGCACCCAGCCTGGGATCGTCCTCAAGACTCACCCATCCACGTTTGAATTCTCCATACCAACGGGAAATTGTCGAATGATGTGGTGCTTCGTTGCCGAAAACAGACAGTAACTCAGCAAGCCATTCTTGTTGCGATAATTGTCTCTGAAAGTTGCAATAAATTATGGCGCGAAAATGTTCTCGGTTGAGTTCCATTTTTCTAATGACCTAGACACCTAAAAATTCACTGTAGTGAGTACACTGCAAGTATTGTTGTGAAACTTTGAATTTAAGTTTACTAAAGAGTGAGGTTAAGATTCAGTACTGACGTTCGATCCGCGCGGCCTACTATGTTTCTATATGCAAAACTTAAAAGACTGTCCTAAATATTTTCATGAAATTTGACATGCTCCTACTAAGCACCAATAGACATTTTTTGATGTATAATATTTTTTTAATATTTCTACCAGTGGCGTCTTCACGGGGTGGAGATTTTTTCCGAAAATAAAAATCATTCTTTTCTCAATTAAAATTTAAAGAATCGTCGCTCCTAAAGTTTTTCAGCTAAAACACTGGAAACTAGTATCTTAAAGCTTCAAAATGATTTTTTTAAGTCTAGATTCGACCATTTGTCACCGAAATACCGGTCAAAAATCACTGAAAAAGTTTGCTCCTTGGCGCCTGGCGGTCGAATCTTATTTTTTTTTCTCTGTATCTCCGCCAAGGAATATTATTGAATGTTCTATTAATTGTCGATAGTCGTCTCTAGCAACTTCTTTGGTCAATTCATGTCGATAAAATTCTAGCAGCTTGTCAGTCTCTGAAATATTCAGGCATTCTCAACATAACATTTTACTTACAATTGTTTTTACAAAATTGAAGGGTATGCGTTTGAAAAAAAGAACTTGGGACACCCTTTACTATACAATAAAACACAATATAAAGACACAGGCCTCAAAGGATTCCAAACTGTTGGAGACGAAGTTTGAAACGGCTTATTTGCGCGCTAGTAATTTTTTCTCGCAACATGTATTTAGTAATTGCTGTATAATGAGCAAACGTATCTTAAAATTGGGTGCTTCAAAGATCACATCTCACGACAGCCAACACAGCCCACAGAAACTAACAATTATACATTTAAATATGTACTAAGAATAGCCCGACTTCACCTGCACGCTAATAGTTTTTTTATAATTTTCAATTCGCGTTTGATATAATTTCAGTGTTCTTTCGCAGCAGCGCACGTATCAAGTTGATAAAATGCACACTTTGCCACTGGTTCGTTCCACCTCAGTATTTTTAAACGTCGTGTGTAATCTAGACGCTGTTGGTCTCTCTAGGTGGCTAAATTAGGTGTAAGTAGATCATCCGTAGAGGAGCATTTGATATATTTTGTATCGTCCGTACGGGAAAGTTATTATTAAAAATACAATTGGCCGCAATGTAGTTATTAGAGCGTAAATGATATGATTCGCTAATTAATAGTCATTGAATATTCCAGATAATTTTGGAACGTGTATAAAAATGTCATTGTTTACATAACGTTATAGTACAGGAATTGTAGTCTATTCTCTGTTGCCAGCTGAGTATTTGTCACAAATCAGCCCACAACAAATCAAGCATCGATTTGGATTAGTATTCGTTCTAAAACCACTACTGTTTTTTACAAATCGCATAACTTTGTACCATTACTTAAAAATCTGAAAGTATAGTAATATGGAACGACGCAATTTAGCAATTAAGCCAAGAAGGTTTACTGCATTTAAAATTTTCGAAAGCCTTTTCTTTGACTACAGTCCTAAACATGACGCATTTTTTCAAATCCTGTCATAAATACAATTTCTTAGGAAGTGATCTAAAATAGCCAATTTTGTCGACAAAAACCGTACAGCTCAGGAAGCTTAAAACAGGTTCAGGTTATTGCACTTGGAAATTTGTTTGACCTTGCTACGCCCCAAAGTGATTAAGACCTTAAAAAACGTACATAAACTCGCATTTTTTGATAGCTTCAGGTTTTATTTATAGACGAATACGATCAGGAGCTTTAAATATGTCAACTAAGTTTGAAATGTTGAGAAACAATCCATCTAAATATTTATTTTTTGACACTATTAAAAAACATCAGACCGTTCATTGTTTGTTAAACATAATTTTCTACATTAAGCAATTCAATTTAATTTTAGGCGTGTATTCACTGCCACAATTGTTTATTAAAAATCGTACCATACTACCCACTCATTGTTATTTACTATTAGCTATTGTTTAGGCAAACCACGGTATTATTGCTATTTTAAAAGCAGCCCATTATTCGTTATACGGATTGACAACAAATTGTTTTGTATTGCGCATGGTTTTAACTCGTCAATTTTGCTACTTTTTTGAAAAATATAAAGCTCGTTACATTTAATTGAACGATGATTCATAAAATATTTTTGAAAGTTTTTTCACTGCGTTATAACTGATTTAAATTCAGAAGAAATCAGCTTATCGAGTGTAGATTCTGTCGCATCACAATACGCTTTTTAATTTGAATGAGGGCGATATATCATTAACTTTTTCTGGATGTTTTGAACAAAATCGAAAAAATTATAACGTAAACGTGATTATAAGTACAACGCTCTGATAATAACAAGTGTGCATGTTCGTTTAAGCAGAATTTCTAGGTTAAATATAGACAGACGATTTCCACGACTGCATTCTATTTGCTTAAAATAAAATCCGCAGTTATTTGTCTAATCTAGGTGCTCTATGAATACATACTATGTTGGTTTGCATATATTTTTCATAGTCGGGTATGTAGCGTATTTTATATTCGACGTTTGAAGGATATCCTGCTTATCAGATCGGTCTTATCAGAGTCAGTTAATGTTTGAGACATTAGGTAAAAAGAAAAATCATTGTTTTATCTACACATAGTAGACTTGATAGCTTTCAAAAGACAGATTATACCTAAACATTTAATTTTTTGTGCATGGTTTTTGCTGGCTAAAACTTTATACGGATATACTCGTATTTAACGACTTTCACCAAATAACATAAATGAACAAAGCAAGGCCAAGGCGAGATTATTTAACTTTGTTATTAAAAAACATTGTGTTGCCGATACTCGTAATGCAAGCCATTGAAAAGTTAAGCATGGCATATTAGGAAAGTATTTGTATGTTAGTAGCAAAAAAGCCCCAAAATTGTCTTAAACTGCCGTTTAAATGTTGCAATAACCAAAATAATGACCAAAAACAATCACTATCAACTTGGTTCTTGTGAGTAACACTATCGCTGATTTTTTAAAGCCGATTTGTAACCCCGGAAAAACTGTTTAAAGGTTTCTGTTTTTCTGTCTTTTTGGGTAGTGAAAAATTTGGAGGTGAGGGTTGAAATCTCAAATTACTAGTCGAAGAGTACATACTCTTCTGATGATTTTCGAAACCGCTTTAGTTTCATTGAGATTCAAACCTTTCCAAAAATATGAGCTTCTTATTGAGTTGGTGACATTAGGCCCGTATCGTCAGTCGTCCCTACAATATTAGGGCGCGTTTATGGCCTCCTTGATTTCCTTTCTCTCCTTCAAAAATTTCTAGATTACACTTGTCCCGTGTCAGCATCAGCGATCTCCTATTGTGAAGATATGTTTTCTTTTTAAATTGTAGGAAATTTCAGGCTGATAAAACATGATATAACTCAAAAGCAAGCACAATTTGATGCAAATAGATGTTTGTGACATAACCTCAAAATAGAGCGCTGACACGGAGAAGTAGAAAACTATGACAATCAAGGAGAGGCCATAAAAGAGCCCTACAATTGTAGGGACGACTGTCGATACGGGCCTTAGTTATTCCCTTTCTCATACTGACGAAAATTTCTGCTGGAGCACACCCAGTGTAGTATGCAATTCTCTTTTTTCGACTAAGATCATTAAAATTGGATTTTTTGAAATTCTCGTTCTGTGTTTCCGAAACGCAGCGGTTTTCCAAGAATTGTCTCTAAGGAATAAGCCATTGTTTATTCATACCTGCAATTAACACCTCGACTATCTATTGTATTATATTTACATGAATTTTTGGTTAAGCTTTTGATTTTTGGGTCCACCTCCTCATAACCTTTTGAGAGAGCCGTCATCAAACTCACTGCTTATGTTTCTCTCGAAAAGGCATATCAACTATTTAATGGAAACTATTGCCGGCGATAAGTACTGAATACAGAAAAAGTTTCAATAATATAATTTGATTAAGATGCTGGAAGTAGAATAGAGATACCTATGATTTTATTTTTTATCTTTCCTTGATACCATTCTGGTGGTAATAATAGTTATAGGAACATTTACATCCTAATTATATTGCTACGCCCATAATAATCTTCTAAAAATGGCTAAGATAGTCAATTTCTTAGGGTTGATGAATATATTCGTATTATTGTAAAATGTTCGTTTTTGGGGGTATCGAAACACATTACCACTGCTACGCTAATTTATTACTTCTTATCGGTAAGCATGGTTCTGTCGAATGCAATAGTGACATAAATTAGGCACTTTTAACAGACGAGCAATTATTAAGAGTTATACACAAATTTTATTTTCAGGGACTCTCCACATATACATTTTTCGTACCCATTTGGTATACAATGAAAATAATTGTGAACATTTCTCGCAGTCCCTAAAAGTATGTTTGTGTTTATACTCTTAATACACTAATTTAACTTTGTTTTCAGGTGAAGGACGCGCCAGAAAGCTCAGAACCCAAAACGTCAGTTGCTGCTAGTCCACAGGGCTCTAGTCCAGCTGTGGTTCTTGTTAAAAATTTAGAGGTTGCGGTTCCAGCTGGAGATAGGGATAAAAGTGAACCAAAATCGCAGCAGGCTGGAAAAAAAGTAGAACCGCCACAAAAACAAAGGAGGAGTGCAGAGCCTACACAGGTACCAACTGTTTCAAATAATTATACACAGGGTGGCCCCCGAAAAGGTCGCACCCCCATTTGGTACTCTCCTGGTATATTTTGGGAAAACCTTTGGATTTGTCAGAAAATCCTGGAATAGGATCATTCTCTGTTTTTCAATTACAGTCGCTACCTAACCCAAAGAGAGAACATTACTACAATATGAACGTTTAAAAAAATTGTGAAAGCCGAGTGTTTTTTAATAACCCGGTAGTATTGAGAGGTATACCTATAAACCTTACGCCTCTTCCGGTTTAAATTTTCAGACAGCTCGTGAAAGTAAAAATGTTTCCTCCAAAGTCAGTGTCAATGCCAAAATCTAGACGAATATTTACTAAAAGCAATCTTGTAACCTTAAGGTATACAATAGGGTTACTTAGGCTATCGACTTGTTTTTTATGAATCTATGTTGCAAACTTACAAGGAATTTTATTGGACATAAATAAGATAATTTTTACTTACAAATATGCCCAAAAACATATTAATTATAGCAGAAAGAATGAACACTTATTTTATAGAAAGTGTAAATCAAATAGTGAAGACGATGGATGACGATGATCCAAACTTATTCCATTACAAGTATGCCAGAATTCATCAATGAAGCAATTTAGAACAATTAACATCAACAATCTAAGAAAAGCTATCTCAAAATTGAAATCTAATAAAAATCCAAGTGAGAATCTCTCAAAAAATATTCTAAAAGATTATTTCAATATAATTGGAGAGAAATTATCATTATTGGTGAATCATTGTTTAGTACATGGTAAATTCCCTTCAAAATTAAAGTGTTCCACCATTACTCCTGTGCCAAAAGTTCAAAATTCTTAACTGTATACAAATATGCGACCGATTAATGTCTTGCCCGATGTGGAGAAGCTGTTCGAAAAGGTAATATACGAACAAATCATAGAATTCATTCATTGAAGAAACCAAAATTTTGATAAAAAAATCAAGCTGGATTTAGAAAAAAAAATTCCATAGAAACGGCAATCCAAATGGTGGTGGAAGACTGGAGAAGAAATATAGATGAGAAAGAATATATTGTAACAATATTTTTAGACTTCAAAAGGACATTTGAGACTATAGATAGGGAAAAATTATACAGGGTGACTTTGAAGTTGAGTCATTAATTTTCAGATAATGATTGTAGAAGGAAGATAAACCAAAATATGTATGTAAAAATAAAAAAAAAATTAAAAAAAATTTTTTACCTTGTTTTATAAAGTATCCTCCCGACAAGTATTTCAGTGCGGACCTGTATTTGATCGTGAGGTCCCCTGTGAGGTCTTAAGTCACCTGATTTACGAGCCCGTTGTACTACATTAACAAAGGCACGAGGGGTTGGTTGCACTCGATTGGGAAACCGATCCGCATAAACATGTGCCATTTTTTATTTCGTTTGAGCCACGCAACAGACGCTATTCACACGCGTTACCGACTGACACTGACTGTATGTGTAACTGAACTGAATAAAATAATTGTAAAAACATCGTTCCAAATTCTTTCGCTTTTTTGTTTCCGATGCGATGAACCGATAAGGCGGATTATATCCGTTGTTGCCAAACACGAGCACATGATATTGTTATTGAGACAGGGCGGTACTCAAACTTCCAAAGGGCTATAACTTTGTTACTTTAATTTTACCAGAAAAATGGTAAAGGAAAAAACCATTTCTTTTGATCAGATTTACTCACTGTTAAAATAAATGACTCAACTTCGAAGTCACCCTGTATAATTTGTCAAATAAAGGTAACTTTTTCATGGGTGGTAGCCCTTTTTAACAAAACGCTATTTGGGATATTTTTGGCTAGGCTCTAACAACTTCTATCACCCTTTCAGAGACGGTCTGCAGAACCACAACATGTAGAAGCTCTTCAAAAAACAGAAGAGCCTATACATAATACCAGAAAAAGCGGCACCGCCCCTCAAACAGAAAAAAAGGCAGAATCTCCACTCAAAGAAAAACGATCTGAGAGGCGATCCGCAGAACCAGTGCCTAAGGTAGTACCTCAAAAGGAGGAGCAACTCACTGAATCTCCTCAAAAGAAAATAAAACCTACCGAAGTTTCTCCAAAAGAGGTAAAACAAGTTGATCTTCAACAGAAGTTAGTCAAAGCAACGGAAACTCCAATAAAAAGAGCAGCTTCTACCGAACCTCCACATAGACTGAGGTCAGCTGATGCTCCAGAAAAAGATGACGTAGCAAAACCCGAAGAACCTCCTAACAAGCAAAGAAAAATTACTGATTCTACGAAAACGCTGTCGAAGGAAGTATCTGTAGCACAAAAACATAGGACATCTATCGAGTCCAAGCTAATAGAAAAATTACCTGAAGTAAGTTTGGTAAAGAAAAGTAACCCAATTGAAACGGAAGCTAAACTCACTGAGGAAGTGATACACGTAGAAACCACGGATCCTCCACTAACGCTAACCGAGAATTTGGTAGAAACCCCGCAGCAAGCAAAAAGCCCAGCGTTATCAGTGCCTCTCAGGAAGCTGTCAACGGAAACTCCGAAAAGACCGATTGGAGCTCTTTTCAAAGAACACAGATCTTTTCCTCTGAGCAAGCCTATGCTAGTGGACGAAATTATAGACCTGGATCCTGATCCGCCGGAAGCGCCAAAAGTTGCTCCTGTGGAGATAGAAGTGCGACCTGTAGAAGTGAAGGTGAGATCTCAAATAGCGAGGCGAGGAGGACGGAGGGGTGTCGGTGGTAGAAGACCTACCACAGAGAGGAGGGTTGTAACTGTACCGGAAGTAGAAGATAAGTCTAGCACAGAAACTACTCCATTACGTAAGTAGAATTTGATAGTTTGCTACGAGGGATGTCTTTTAAGTTTTGCATATGGAAATAAAACAGCACGGTAGGTAGTTTTAAATGACTTTATTGTTTTTCGAAGTATTCCCCACGAAGATTAATATACTATATATATACTATATAATAACTGTAAGGACTTTTGGCAAACAAATGGTGGTATACCAATCTGCAGTAACAGTTCTTTATTCATTGAGAGGAATTGTTGCAATATGACCCGCTTTTGACACAAATGTCGCGACCATCTTTTTCGAAACACTTCGAGAACGGACTTTTGTTGGCTTTTCTTCACCTTGGAACACCCAAACAGCCAACTGTCGTTTATTTTCTGGTTCATAACAGTAAATCCACGATTCATCACCACTAACAATGCTGTACACATTTTTTGAGTTTCCGGAATTAAAACGGTCAAGCGTTGACACCAATTAACCCTGGCTGCTTTCTGCTCTTCAGTCAACAGGTGGGGTATCCAACGAGAAACTAATTTTCTTACTCCTAATTCTTCATGAAATTTTTTTTGAATTGAGGTCTTTGAGATCTTCAAGGACGCCTCAATCTCGCGATATGTCACATGTCTATCTTCAATGATGAGTTTGCGCACAGCATCGACGTTTTCGTGGGTGACTGCCGTTTTTGGTGCACCCACCCTGGAATCGCCGCTAAGACTCACCCGTCCACGTTTGAATTCTCCAAACCAACGGGAAATTGTCGACTTATGTGGCGATTCGTTGCCGAAAACAGACAGTAACTCAGCAAGGCATTCTTGTTGCGATAATTGTCTCTGAAAGTTGTAATAAATTATGGCGCGAAAATGTTCTCGGTTGAGTTCCATTTTTCTAATGACTTGGTGACACTTAAAAATTCACTGTAGTGAGAACACTGCACGTATTGTTGTGAAACTTTGAATTTAAGTTTACTAAAGAGAGAGGTTAAGATTCAGTACTGACGTTCGATCCGCGCGGCCTACTATGTTTCTATATGCAAAACTTAAAAGACATCCTTCGTATAGTCGAAAATACTGCTCGTTTCATTTGCATATAATATTATAACTGGTATCTTTTACAAATTCGAATTCAAATTATTTATTTCGTCATGAATAAACATCATAAACAAAGGAAATTCTACAATATAGAGCAATGACGAAAAAGATCAGCCTCTCGATTATAAAACCGATACATTGGACACTTTAATACAAAGAGTCCATGCGAGAAAGCCCTGAAAATCCTTAAACAAAATAAAAAAAGCAATAAAGAGTCAAATGAAAAGGCGGTGAAACACAAAAAGGCAAAAACGAAGAAAGCGCCCCCGGGAGCTGGCAACGGACGCGAAAAACAAATCTATACAACTTGTCAGCGAGTAGGAATGTAAAAACGATATTTCTGCTCACACAAACGCTACAAAAGTAGCTGGTGATTCTGTAAAAACGTTTTTTTCAGTTTTGAGAATGTTTTTGACGATGAGCCTTTAACTGAACTTCGTAAATTATTCCATGAGTGAACCGCCACATAAGCAAACGATCGTCGGAAGGAACGCGTTCTATGTCTTGGTACGATAAAATTGAGATTATTTCTGCTCCTCTGGTCACGAGGCAAATGCACAAATCTTTCTCTTAAATAGGGCGGTTGACCTGTTTTTATAACCCTATAGATAAAAGAATACATGTGATATTTTCTGCGATTCGTCATGTTTAATATGTTGTAGTTATTCAGATAAGGAGTGATATGGTTTCGATATGGAATTCCAAACGCAAATCTCATGCAACTATTTTGAACTTTTTGTATGCATTTTTTGGTTCGCGACGATAGCGAGTCACCATAGACATCTCCATAGTCAAAAAGTGATAAAATGAAGGTATTACACAAAAAATATTTTTGTTTGACTGATAAATGTTTTTTTTTAATTTGTTTATATTTCTTAGTCGCATGTAAGCTAAATTTGTTTTTTTGTTTTTTATGACTTCCGTAGCCAAGCGAGCTATCAAATATAATGCCTAGATTTTTTGTCTCCTGAACCATGGGGATTCTGTCATTGTTAATAGAAATTACTAAATTTGGTTCAAAATGTTCTCTTTCATTACTGTTTTTAGCCATAACCATTACTTACGATTTTGAGGGGTTTAGTTTAAGATTGTGATGCTTTGCAAATCTGTCAATACCTTGGAGATCTGAATTTAGCTGTTGTTGTGGAATATGGATTGTGGTTTTATTGAAAGGGAGATATATTTGTGAGTCATCTGCACATTGTTTTATCTTTGCGAATTTTACCGATTTGACCATGTCAGATATGTAGATTGAAAATAGCAAAGGAGAAAAAATTGAACCTTGAGGAACTCCTCTTTTTATAGGTTTAAAATCGGTTTTGTAAATAGCGGAATCATATGCTAACATAACACAGTTTGAACCGTTGCTTAAGTATGTTTTCATTAGATTTACGGAGCTCTGCGAAAACCCCTGGTAATGTAACTGGCTAGTAACATTTCATGATTCAGAGTGTCGAACGCTTTACTAAAATCGAGAAGAACCATGCATGTACTATTTTTTTGTTCTTGATGATGTCTGATATCATCCAAGATATTAACTAATGATGTACTTGTGCTAAATTTTTTCCTAAAACCCGATTGACTATCGGGTATGATATCGTTTGATTCACAAAAAAATCTAATTTGATTATAAATAAGGCCTATTTATATTATAAAGGCCTTCTAATAATTTGGATGTAGCGGGTAATATGCTAATAGGCCTTGTAAATTCTTTAGTTTCTGCTATTTTTGGTAAGCGTTTAACAATAGCTTTCTTCCATATTTCTGGAAATAACTCCCCAAAATACGTGTGTTGATTATATTCAGCAAGGCATTCGTACAAAATGGGATACATAACTTTAGGTCTCTCATAGAGAAACCATCCTCTCCAATGACATTTGATGAGATATTAGTTGAAATTTTGATTAGACTGGCCCTGTCTAACAGTTGGAAGCTAAGAGAATCGTTAATGTTTATATTGTTCTTGTAAAAATTGATTAAGTCTTGGGAAGCAGTGTCTGGTAAATTGTCGGTCTGTTGGAAGTAATTGTGTATGTCACGTGAAGCGGATAGTAAAAAAACGAGGTTTTAAAATTCGTTCATATTATGCCTGTTTGTTGATCTGATTTGCGTGCTTCGAAAGAGCCGTATTTGAAACTAGGATTTTTTCGAGGATTTTTTTCGAATTCTGATATGAAACATAAAATAGCGTTTTATGTAGAAAATTTTGTGTACCTAGAAAAAAAGAAAACAAATTTGAAATAAAAAAAAAGTTCGACTAAACTTCAAAGCAAAATTTGGGCATTTTCGCATGTTTGTGTTTTACATTTTTTGACTCCAAAATATAGCCTAAAGTGAGCTTAAAATACACCAGAAGTTTTAAAATGGTCATTAATTAAGGAGGGACGTATTTTTATGTACAGGGTGGTCAGCTACTGTATTGGGAACCTATCCATTGTAGAGGCTTGCGGCAAAAATCAGTTAATACTAAAATGGCCAGAGAAAAACCTGGAAAATATTTTCAAGTCCCTGAAATGGCCGCTAGGGCTGCAATCTTGAATCTAAAAAAGTGATGTTTCTGTGAATTCCGCTATATTAACCTATCAAAAAAATACCTGATTTTTTGTTTGACAATTTTTGTTGTATCTCTATCAATAAAGTGGTTTGGGGTACTCAAAGGTTTCCGTAAAGAACATCCTGTATCTTCGAAACGGCTGAGCCGATTTTAACAAACTTGGGCTATTTGAAAAGAGGCTACATTTGGGCTACAAATGTTATTATGTCTTTTTTGGACATACTGACAGAAATGGCTAATTCTCTCATGAAAACTGTATGCATTGGTATGCTTTTTCGTCAAGGGAAAGTAGCTAAATGATGTCTATACAAGCTCGCGAAAACCGCATCTCGATAGACAGGGAGTCCGCAAAGTTGGGGTTTTCCTTTACAGGACGTGTAGATCTTGAAAACATAAGCAATTTTTTTTAGTACCATATACATCAATGTCTTAAGGGAACCGAGATAAAGGGCTCTGCAACATCAAAAATATCTGAATATCGTCCTGTAGCCGCGACCCGCGCCATCACCGAGTGGTACAAGGTCACTGGCTCAACCCGACGACAGAACTGGGTCGGGGTCAGTGTGTCAGGTCAGTATGCAACCGAGGGTTACGGTCACGCGTGTAGAGGTAAGGAATTTCGAGGTGGGCACAGTGGGAGGCCTAGACAACCACGAATGGTGCAAATTGAGGAAGAACTACTGAATCGCGTAGACGAGAATCCCTCAACAAGCACTAGAGACGTGGCTAGAGAAGTGCAAGTATCAAAAACTAAAGTGTGGTAAACGCTGCGTGAAGAGGGGCTGTATCCGTTTCACGTCCAACGTGTACAAGCCCTTCAACCTGACGATTTTCCAGCAAGAGTGCGGTTTTGTGAGTGGTTGTTGCATCAACATGACAATAATCCGGACTTTTTGAAGTGCATATTGGCGTCAGACGAATCTACGTTCACGCGTAATGGGGTGAATAACTTTCGCAACACTCATGTTTGGTCAGTAGAAAATCCGCACGCTGTCCGTCGGGCACATTTTCAACAAACATTTTCGGTGAATGTTTGGGCTGGCATGGTGAACGGTATGCTCATTGGACCATTTATTCTCCCAAATCGATTGGACGGGATGCAATACCTAGACTTTTTACGCAACATTTTGCCTTCCTTGTTAGAAGATGTGCCATTGAGTGTAAGACAATCAATGTGGTTTCTGCGTCTGCTCGGTAGCACATCAGCTGATTTCATTTTCTGTTGGAGCGGTATGATTTCGGGCAGAGACGTACTTAGCCCTTCTCGTCAACTGGGGAGTGAGTACTTTTTTCTTTATTTTTTTTTACTTGTTCGCCCTCGTTTCACTACACATTACCTTTGTTATGTCAAGGGTAGTTGTTTCTAAAAAGGAAAACCCCAACTTTGCGGACACCCTGTATTGTCCCTAACTTAAAATTTAGGCTAATGAAAATTTTATACGGAAATTTTTATTTATTCAACTAAATTTTTTTTATTATTAAGGTTTTTAATGCATATGCTCGAAATGCTGCCCATCACACTCTATTTTATACATTCCTGAAGCCTTTCATGGGAAGATAAAACTGCAGCTTCAATTTCGGCTCTCGGTAAGTTTACGTATTGCATTGCGAAAGGTACGGAACCTTCCCTATATGTGTGCGGCTCTCACATTCACGTTCTTTTCTGTAGACCAGCGTCCGTTGACCCTTGCTATAATTCTCCTGTTCGATAGAAATGAAATAATCCAGTCTAATAAGAAACCGGCGCTAGTTATCGATGTCGTGAAAAATACTGACTACTTTTGATAGTATATAATTTCTTATTTTGCCATTTCAGCCTCTCCTAAACCTCCATCGGAAAGGACCAGTACCCCCGCTACTCCACAGGCCAAATCTCCGAATCCAGACGTGCCGATGTTAGAAATGCCCCTACCGGAACTGACAGTGAATGTAACGGATATCGGCCCGGCTATGGCTTCGACGTCATCGGCAAACGATGTGATATTGGTGGATGAAGAGACTAGAATGAGCGCTGATACGAATAGTAGAGCGCAAACACCAGCTAAGCAGGTAATTAACGATTTTTGTGGTATTCCTTGAATACATGCCTGAACTAAGAATTGCAGATACACATTTGCTTCGTGGCAGTTTACTTGGACATACAGTAGTGGACCAAAGTTTTGTTTGGAAATATTCTTAGTAATTTTTTAAAAGTGCTCTAATTTTTTATTCTCTACTATTATTTGTTTGTTTGTTCCAGATTTATTTAGCATTAATGCTACAATGTCCACATTGCTTTGCGAAATTCTACAAAAGTGATTTATTTTTTTGGATATTTTTGTAATAATATATTCATAGTGCCCTTCCAATTTTAATTTACTGTCTACGTATAGGCCCAAATATTTAAATGATTCGATTAACACAATTTTTTCATGATTAATTGTCAGATTTATCGTATTTTGATCTAAAGATTTTCCTATTAGCATATATTTTGTTTTGTTTGTGTTTCGTTTAAGTTTATTCACATTTAACCAATTTATTACGTTTTTCATATCATTATTTAACAGCTCTATCGCAGTTTCAATGTCTTTATTTGATATATATGTATATTAATGTATCATCAGCAAAGACCTAATCTGCTACCCTGTGGCACACCTACCGAAATGCTTTTAATGTTTGATAATGTATTGCAAATGTTAGTTCTTTGACTTCTGTTGATTAAATAATTTTGTAATAAGTTGAATACTGAACCTTGAAATCCATAGCAATGCAGTTTCGTTAACAATTTCACCCTGTCAATAGTCTCTACTTTTTTTTCATCCATATTCCGCCTCCATTCGTCTGCTACCATTTGAATTGCTGTTTCAGTAGAATCCTTTTTTCTGAATCCTGCTTGAAATTTTGTCAATATCGTTATTTTCTTCAATATATGCAATGACTTGTCCATATATGATTCCTTCTAAGAGATTCTCGACATCTGGCAGTACATTAATTGGCCGCATGTTTGTATATAACTCAGAATTTTGAACTTTTGGAACAGGAGTAATTGTAGAACATTTTAATTTTTATTAAGGACTATTTTTTTCTCATATAGTCTGCTTACAGTCTTGAGGATACAAATGATAATTTGTGTTTGGTGTGGTACTACAGACTAGCATTAAAATACATTCATATTATTTTATGACCAAAAATGAGACGACAAAAGTATGGAAACATATTTTTTATTACAAAATAATATACAATAACTACAAAAAGATTTAAAAAATACTGTTTAGCTAATATTTGGTACCATAGCCTTTAGCATTCAAGACTGCCTGACATCATCTGCTGCTCATAGAAGACATCAATTTTTTACAGATGCTGTTGGGATATTTTGCCAAATATTTTTTACATAATCAAATAAGTCGTTCCCATTTTTAAAAGTTTTTCTTGTCGTTTAACATGCTCCCAGACATGTTCTATAGGGCTTAGGTCCGGGGATTACGAAGGCCATGTAAGAACATTAACATTTTTTAGTCTTAACTAGTCCTTCACGAACTTTGAGGTATGCTTGGGGTCATTATCCTGCTGGAATGTCTATCGTAAAGGCATTTCTTCTTCAGCAAAAGGGAGCATGTGTTGACTAAGAATATCTTTGTAAAGTTTGTGACCCATTTTTCCAACAATTTTAACAATTGAACCGGTTCCAGAACCAGAAAAACAGCCCCAAACAATGACGTTGCCTCCACCATGCTTAACTGTTGGCAACTGATTCTTTTTATCGAATCTTTTTCATATTGGACGTCTCACATATGCCGTACCGTTAGATCCAAACAAGTTAAATTTCCTTTCATCGCTCCATAAAACTGTATTCCATTGTTGTTTTGTCCAAGTTAGATGAGTTTTAGCAAATTCAAGCTGAGCAATACAATTTTTTTGAATCAGAGGCTTTTGTACTGGACGCCTATCAAAAAGCCCAACATCCACCAAGCGTCTCTGCACTGCACTGATAGAAAGATTATCGGCACGCTCTTCTACGATTCTTTTGAAAATCTGTGTGGCTGGCATTAGAGGATCTTCATGGGACAAAGTATAATGTAGCGATCCAAAACATCGGTTTTTTTCGGTATTCCGTACCTGAGCCGCGTTGCTGTCGATCCGTATTATTGATATTCACCACTTCTAGATAATTCAATTGTCTCTTAAATCTTTTGAAATTTCTTTTACTTTTGCCATTCTCATTGATGTTAATATTTACTGCTCGCAATATCAGAGTATCGCAGAACGAATAAATACGGCAAAACTGAAATGTTTTTTTTTTCGTTATATCATGACTACATGAGCCTCACCATAAGACTGGCATACTGCCTGTCCATAAAAAGTGAACTGTCATTATCCCCAATTGTTTGAGTATCTCTTTACAAGAGTAACGCCGACACATTTGAAAGATATTGTACGCAATATTTTTTTCTGAATAACAAATACTTTATTAATACGAGAGCAGTTCCTCCTGCAAACAATGCAATAACTAAGCGTTGAATGAACACAGGAAAAGTAATGGAGCTTTAGAACATCAGTGTCAATCTCTTAGTTGAAATATCAGGTAACAGTCCTTTGATAGCTTATTCAAGATATTTGTCTGTTTGTTTGTTTAAGATTTATTTAGCATGGTTGCTACAATTACATTCTTCTAAAAAACTAAACAATTACATAACATACAGATATTCAGAAAAACAACATTTGCATCTCTAAGAATTTTCATTGTCCATGAAATATTCCTTTAATTTTCTTTTAAATGTCTTTAAATTACATTATTTAGTTTAGTAAATTCAAGTAGTCCTTTCTGAAATATTGATTTGCTGGTTATATTACTATTGCAATTTTGTAAATGAAAATCTATATTTCCTCTTGTATAATAATTGTGGAAATGATTATTCAATGTAGTGTTCTAAATGTTCTGGCAAAATATGATTTTTTAATTTAAATATAAAAATAAGAACCAAATATGGTATGAAACTTTGTATATTCAACCACTGCAATTCTTGTAACATAGATTTTATTTTGATGTACTTATTTTTATTCTATATTATTCTCATAGCTTTATTTTGCAAGACTTGTAATTTTGAGAATAAAGTTTAATTGGCAGTGAACAAGATAGTTGAACAATATAGTAAATGCGGTAGAATAATTGTATTATAAACTATTTTCTTGGAATAGGTACCAAGACTATGAGAAGCCCTATAAAAGTAATTTGTTTTTTTGGCAATTTTTGAAATAATGTATTAATATTGATCCTCAAACTTTAGTTTACTATCAATATATTACCTAAATATTTAATTGATTCAAAATTTTCAATTATTCCTCCATTTATCCTAACTGTGATAGTATTTTCATTTAGGTATTTCCCTATTAGCATACATTTTGTTTTAGAAGTATTCAATTTTAGTTTATTTACATTTAACCAATTTACGATTTTTGCCAAGTCAGAATTTAGCATTTTTAAAGCACGGTCTATATTTTCATCTGATATGTATATTAATGTATCATCTGTAAATATCTGAAGTTTACAATAATCTAAAATATTACAAATGTCATTAATGTATAAAATAAATTGTAGTGGACGTAGTTTACTACCTTGTGGTATACCAACAGAAATATTTTTTGATCTTGATAATGTAGATCCAATTTTGGTTTTTTGACTTCTGTCAATTAAATAGTTTTGTAGAATCTTGAATACAAATCCTTTAAATCCGTAGTGATGCAATTTTGTAATTTATCCCTGTCAATAGTCTCAAACGCCCTTTTGAAGTCCAAAAACACTGTTACTGTGTTTCCGATTGTCCATACATCTCCTCCAGTCCTCTAAAACCATTTGTGTTAAATAAATTCGATGATCTGTTCGTAAATAATTTCTCCAAAAACTTTTTCAACATCTGGCAGAACATTTATTATCATCTACCTGTTTTAGTCTAATCATTGTAAAGTCTGGTTTTATTGCTGCAAATTGGTCAAGGGGGTATTCAAAACATGGACGCATGAAATGGGTATACCAATTTTTGTGGGAAAACTTTTTATTCGACAACAGAATGAGAAAACGTGTTTTTTTGGATTGAATCGAAAGTGTTGACAGGAACAAAAAACTCATATAAGATTTTTAGGTATTTATGAGACCTACAAAATGAGACCACACGTGAAAAGGTCCGACTAATAGCAAAAAAGTTATGGCCGAAAACCGAGGCAAACTGTAGGCTTTGATATTTGTTGCTAATGGTGATGGTTTCTCGCAGATATTTGAAAAATTTCAAGCAGTTGCGTGAAATTATCATCGCATTGTGGCAGTGGTAAACTGAGAATGTGTGCGTGCATTTAAATAAAGGCTATTATGCCATATTAAATATGACGCAGTATTTAGATTAAAAGAGCCTATTATCACTATACTATGCTCTCATATACAGCCATTTATCTTATAACATCTTATACTGGGGTAGAGCCACAAGCATCAACGAATTATTAGATTGTTGTTCAACCTTAGTTTTGGCGAAAGTTGCAAAAACACATTTATTCAAAATAAGCTCTTGACATGTATTTATGTATATAAGTGTGTTAACTATGTAAAGCGAAACATCACCGATTTCAGCACACAAAATAAACATCACACCTATAAGACCAGAAATTCCATTTTGAAAGCTAATCGTTTTAGAACTATGGCATATACAAAATCACCCCAGTTCAACTACATCTCATTATACAATACTCTACCTCGAGATCTGCGAGATATAGTGAGATATATAGAATTTAAAAATAAGGTTTTCAAGTATTTAAGTGAAACATGTTTTTACTCTATAGATGGATGTTTAAATCTTCAAAATCAGTAAGCATTCTATATTTTATCCTATATCTTTTATATAATGTTTTAACAAGTAACTATTTTTCTGCAGTTTTGAATGAACTTGTACCTTTTTTATCTTGCTTTTTTAACTTGTTTTATCTATAATATGGCGTATCAAGCTATGTTAACTCGATTCACATTTATTGTGATATTTTATTGTACCACTTTCTTTTGACATTCCATGTGAACTTTAGTTTGGAATTTGGCTAAATATACTACTACTACATTACAAAGTGTCAAAACCTGCAGTTTGCCTCGTTTTTTCGATCTTTTTACGTGTGGTCTCATTTTGTAAGTCTCATAAATACCCAGAAACCTTATATGAACATTTTTTTCGTTCCTGTCAACACTTTCGATTGAATCCCAAAAAAAAACACGTTCTCTCATCCTTTGTCAAATCAAATAAAAGTTTTCCCACAAAAGTTGGTGTACCCATTTTATGCGTCCATGTTTTAAATACCCCCTTGAACAACTTACACCAATTATTTCAGGGAAATTTGCTAATATGATTAGACTATTTTACTTCTTAAGCTGAAGCCAAACTTGAAAAATGAAAAATACCCATTTTGGCGATTCAAGTGACTATCGGTGATCTTTCGTCGTAGTCACCCCTGTATGCTTTTACACGAAATTTGTCGTTTCATAACAAATAATGAACGTTTCCTCCATTTAGGTTGTGTCCGAGGTGATTACCATCGACGAATCTCAAAGCTGTTCGGTCCAGAGCACCGGAAATAACTCGGAGAGCAGCAAAACGCCGTCGTTCCGATCGAATAAGGCTCCTAGATTAGAGGTCCAAGAAAATGAATCCATGTCCGGCATCTCTCCAGATCAGCTGACTGAGTACTACTGGAACGGAAATGGACCGTTCATGCTACAAGAGCAGGTGGCACAGTATCTGGGTATCAAATCGTTCAAACGGAAATATCCTGGTATCATGAGGAGGCCACTGGATATTCAGGAGAGGGATTATATTAGGTATGTTATCAAATTTTAGATTCCTGTCCGCTAGGGTTCGTGTGGCGCCCCCCTTTCCCCTGTATCCCTCTATAGCCCCACGGTACCATGGGTATTTAGGCCTTAGGCCTTTGTAGTGGTTGGAGTATAAAAAAAATAACTACTGCTTTTGAAATATTTTGTAGGAGAGAACAAATAAGTCTCGTCGGTGACGTAGAAATATTCAACGCAGTGCATCTTGATAACGAGACATTTTACGTTCTAGTAAGTCTGTAAATTAAGTGACGAGACTGATTTTTTTTTTCATACAATTATTACTTTTTTATATTATTTACGGAGCTCTGCGAAAACCCCTGGAAATGTAACTTGGCTAGTAACATTTTATGATTCAGAGTGTCGAACGCTTTACTAAAATCGAGAAGAATCATGCACGTACTATTTTTTGTTCTTGATGATGTCTGATATCATCCAAGATATTAACTAATGATGTACTTGTGCTAAAGTTTTTCCTAAAGCCGGATCGACTATCGGATATGATACCGTTTGTGCCACAAAAAATCTAATTTGATAATAAATATGCCTTTCTAATATTTTGGATGTAGCGGGTAATATGCTAATAAGCCTCAAGTCTGTAAATTCTTTAGGTACTGCTGTTTTTGGTAAGGGTTTAACAATAGCTTTCTTCCATATTTCTGGAAACAATCCCCCCAAAATATATGTGTTGATTATATTCAGCAAGGCATTCGTACAAAATGGGATACATAACTTTATATATATACATATATATATATATAACAGTTGGAATAATCGTTAATGTTTACATTGTTTTTGTAAAAATTGATTAATCCTTGGGAAGCAGTGTCTGGTAAATTGTCCGTCTGTTGGAAGTAAGTGTGTATGTCATTTACATTTTGTAAGTGTTCGGGTATAGTTGAGTGAGTTTTCTTGCATGTTATGTTGAGCTTTTTGGTAGTGTCCCAAAATTCCTTAAATTTATTTGTTGAGAGTAAGCTAAAGAATGTATTTTTTTTCGAATAATTGCGTGCTTTGTATAGTTCCTTAGTTGTTTATAATATCCAAAATGAGCCAGTGATTTGGATTTTTGAAATTTTTTATGAGCTTTATCTCTTAGTCTGATTAAAATTCTTATATTTTGAGTTGTCCAGGGTACATAAGGTTTTTTGGTTATTTGTTTTGTTTTTACCGGAACATGTTTATTCAGAACAGTTACTATATTTTTATTAAAGACTTTTTTTTTGGTCGATTTGGTATATATAGTGAATATCCTCCCACCCAAGTAGAAACCCTTCATTTAAGAAGGACTCTCTATCTTTATTATTTTAGTCTCTATATTTAATAGACATTTGTGATTTATTTATTTTTGACTTCCGAAAGGCTGAGTAAATTAAATTATGATCTGAGAGATTTTGATAATAGAGATAAGATCCTCACTAGCACAGATTATATCAATGAGGCTAGCCTCTCTTGTGGAAAAATTGAATCTTGTTGGCTCACTGATCCTTTGTGATAAGTTCAAACTGTGCATTATATTTTTGAGGCGATTTGTGTATGCAGAGTTATTTAAAATGTTAATATTTAGATCTCCTATCAATAATAAATAATCATATTTGAGACTGACAAAACCGAGAAAATTTTCTAAGGATTCTAAAAATAAGTGACACTTTCAGAAGGCGAACGATAACTATTAACTAAAAGATAAGTTTTTCCACCTATCTTAAATTCTATACCTATGTTTTCTGCACAGTTAATTTCCACATTTACCTTTGAATATTTCAACCCGCGTTTTATGTATAAAGCTACCCCTCCTCCCGACCCTGCCTATCATCCCTTGTAAATTTGTACCCAGGCAAGCAAAAGTTCGCGCTTCTTAAAGTTGGATTGAGCCATGTGTCAGAAACTCCAAAAATATCAAAATTGTATTCATATAATTACAGAACTCGTCAAATCCAGAATTTATGGATCTGATATTTAGATGTCCGACTGTGAAATGGTTTTGATGGGGACTATCAAATATTGATTCATTATTAACACTCTCCACTCGCTGACCCATGTTATCATTATCCATTATCCCTTATTTCCTCACTATTGCCAGTCCCAGAAGACCAATCCCCGCCATCTCTATGCCCCCTCTATGCAACACTATTACAATTTTGTTCTCATTTAATTTTGTAAACAAGACTAAACCTAACAACCTACAAATCATTGCCATTCTTAAGTATACATGCGTACTTAGGGCCTTAGGCGTTAGGCATTCGTGGTAGTTGGAGTATAAAAAAAACGGCCGATTTCACCAATTGCAATCAACCAAGATCATTCCAACGAACCTAGTTTAATCCCAGATCAACGATAGATCTTATTGGTATCACGAACGTTTTTTACAGGGAGAAGGGTTTAGCCAGTGACCATATGTGCGACTTGGGCCTGACAGCTGTCAACGCCGCTGATATCTTGGACATAATGTATGCTGACTTCCAAGATAAATACGAAGAGTACTGCAAGAACTTGAGGGATAAGCAAGCGAAGGAGCTGATAAATAAGCAGAAAGCAATGAATTTGGCGACCAGTCACGAGAAAAGTAAAGCGGATGTCATGTCGCAGGCGGTGCAGTCTGCGGCACAGTGGAACACCAACTTCAATAAGGTAATTTTTTAAGGATGCTAAAGAATTTGTTGGGGCTTTAGGTTCAAAACATTAATTCCAGCTCTGGATTTCCAAAAACACTGTCTTTTCTAATTACTTTTTGTTCACCCTAAATCGTTTTTTGACTATTTAAACAGGAAAATAAGCATTTTGAGATTTTCCAGTGAGATTTTTTTTAAGTTTTATCAAAAATTTTTCATTCGCGTCTCTTAAACAATACTGAAAAATACACTGTAATGCCCGGTTTTTCACTCGGTCATTTCCACTCCTTGTAATGCTTTAACTGCATACAATTTGTGGCAATGTACGAGTAAGTATTGATATCTTTCAATTTCATAGACGAGAAGAGAACAACGAAGAGCTTGCATGGACCTGCAGACGTTGACTGTGCATTATCCAAAAGGAAGAATGAAGCCAATCCTGAATCCAACAGTAGGAAATTACCCTGTATCGCTCGTACCGGGACAGTTCGTGGACTATTTCAAGGTAAATGGTCATACATTTATTTGTTCTTATGATTTCAGTTCATCTAATCATCATCCTTATCGAGTAACTTATTTTGTGGGTAGATATTTGCTGAGAATGGACGCGTTTTATCAAAATAATGTTTCGGCAACAATTGCGCGGCGTAAATATCGAGAATACCACAATTTACACAATTTTACAAAGTGTCCAACAGCTCAAACGATTAAGAACTGGGTTGCTAAGTTCGAAGAGACTGGTTCGACGTTAGATAAACAGCGGTGGGGTCGACCAAGGACAACTCGTATTGAAGAAAACATCAACATTGTGGCACAGTCTGTTCGTCAAAATCCTACCCAGTCTACTCGTAAGCGTTCCAGTGTACTAAACGTACCCAGAACATCTTTACAGCGGATTTTAAGGAAAGATTTACGACTGCACGCTTACAAAATTCAGTTAGTGCAGGAATTAAAAGATCATGACTAAACTTTGCGAATGAAATGTTGAATCGATTTTCTTCGCTCAATAATGTGTTGTTCTCGGACGAGGCTCACTTCCATTTAAACGGGCATGTAGATAAACAAAATTGCCGTTATTGGAGCCCCGAAAATCCAAGGCGTAAGCATCAGAAGCCCTTACACAGCCCTAAAGTTACAGTTTGGGGTGCTATGTCAGCGCATGGCATCGTAGGCCCTTATTTTTTTGAGGACGACAGAGGTCGCGCATTAACTGTTACTTCGGAGCGGTATGTAGCAATGATAGAAGAGTTTTTGACACCAGCGTTGCAGAATTTTCCAGCCTATAATACGCAGACCTGGTTTCAACAGGACGGAGCAACTGCCCACACCTCCAACACTTCTATGCCCGTCGTCTGTCAACTTTTTCCCAGCAAAGTAATTTCTCGAAGAGGAGACATTTCCTGGCCACCACGTAGTCCAGATTTGACCCCAATGGACTTCTTTTTATGGGGCTACCTCAAGAGTAAAGTGTACGACACCACTCCGCGATCAGTTGATGTCCTGAAAGAAAATATCCGAAGAGAAATGGCAAGCATTACAGTGTTGACTTGCCGCGCAGTCATCGACAATTTTAGACGTCGTTTATATGAGTGCCGTGATCGTAATGGATTGCATTTAGACGATGTGATTTTTAAAACATAATTCCCATTCAATAAAGATGATAACAAAATATAATAATTCTTCATAATGTAACTAGTTTGGTTTTATTCCTTTTTTCCAGCTCAAAGGACTTATGGGCCACCTTGTATAATCTTTGACAGTTCACTTTTTTGGTCCATTATTGTACCCCCGCCCCTCTACAAAGGTCTAACTGGAAAAGTCGAAATCGGTAGACAGTGTCGTTGAAATTCGGTAGATTCATGGACAAAATCGGTAGGAGGAAAAAATCAGGGCCTGCACAAGAATCAGCGACGGATCAAAGGACTTTGCGTCCCGCAGCGCCCTTTTGTATTTTTCACAGTACATAACACAGTTTTTTTTTTGAAAAAATCATGAATTCTTCTTGTTCGATGACAACTCCTTTGCAACCATCATTGAAACTCCTTTTGCCATGCTTGTTTATAATATTATTATATTATTTACTAATTTTTTATTTTTCTGTTCCACCCCACAACTTGATGCGCCTCATCACCGTCATTTTAATTTGATATTGGGTTAAATACAGACGAGCTTTATTCCTTATAGTGAATTTCTAATTGTTTATCCCAAAACACCTGTTTTCCGGCCATCACCACTAGTTTATTGAGCATTATATATCAAAGAGCATTTAATAGCAAAATATATGTGTTTACCTTGCCGATATACAGTAATGAATAAAAGTATATAGTCAAATTAATATTGTGCCGTATTTCTTTCTTAACTTGTTTTATTAATATACCAACCGGTATACATAATTTGTTATAGCATAATACTCACTTATACATAAATAAATACATTAGACTCCCTTCAATAAAAAATTAATTGAAAAAAACTGGAACTATGAAGGACAAAAATATATAGACAAAGCAAAACAATTATAGAAAGAAGAAGCAAAGTTCATTGAATTATAGACAACCAACCATGTTTGTGTTAATATTTTGTAGCATAACCATTATTATCAATCGCCGCCTGACATCGTCTCGGCATAGATTGTAGAAGTTTCTTGATATAAGATTCATCAATCTGTCTCCACTTTTGCTCTATAGCGGCAAAAAGTTCATCCTTGTTTGAATAATTTTTATCTAGTATTTGCTTATCTATACTCTAGGCGCTGAAGAAAGAAACTAAACCCAAACAAATACACGCATATTGCTCGTGAGTGAGTGTTTAGGCGCAGGAGACATTACAGGACCGCATCAAGATATTATGGGTAGTCATCAAAAATTTCATACAAGATAATTATTATCTTTTACAGTAAATTTCAGTTAGAGATTCACAAATGAGTTAACTACACTTTTTAGTTATTAGTAAGTAAGCTGCGCGCACTCATTCAGAAGAGGAACTTGAATCTTCTGAATCGTTTAAATGAATTATTAGAGGTTCAATTTGGGTATCGATGACATTGTCCAAATCCCACATTTTGACCTCAACCTTCTCCCGAACGTGGCGGATACAGTTTTTCCATTCCTCTGCCGTAACTCTATTGACTGCGATGTGAAAGAGATTTTTAACATCAGAAAATTTATAAGTATTATTATTCGACGCCACGTATTGCTTTATGTTGGCCCAAATCATCTCAATAGGGTTCAGCTCACAATGGTAGGGTGGCAGTCTCAAGACAGTTTTATTTTGTTTTTTGGCCATTTCGTCGATCATTTTAAAATCGTAGTTGTATTTATGTCTATTGACTATACTTATCAATTCACCCTTGACCATTGTTTCATCAAAATCGATCTGTTTTGAGGCCAGCCATTGTTGTATGTTTGCTTTTTTAGTTGCCATTGTGGGAATTTTTTCTATTTTTCTAGAATGGTACGGGGCATTATCCAGTACAATAACAGCGTTATTCTCCAGCTTTAGTAACATTTTGGAGAACCAATTTTCAAAGGAATTGCCGTCCATCTCCTCATGATAGTCCCCTGTCTTTTTTGATTCAAAGGCCCACAGTGCTTCGGGAACAAAGCCGTCTTCACTACCTACGTGACAAATGATCAGCCGTTTGCCTTTTCCTGGAAATAAATTATTCCTTACTCTATGGATTGATTAAATTTGAAGGAATGAGGCAATTGAGTTCATTTAGCTGAATTTAAGAGTCACGGAATGCTGATCAAAAACTGAAAAACGTAGAAAATTGAAGTTTGCAACTTCTCAAAACCCATTCAAAGCAAATTGACTGCACCCAAAAATGATAATAAACTTCAAAATAACGCTTAAAAGAGGGTCGAAGTTTTTTTCCTAATGACTACACTGCGAATGCACCATTTTTGGAGAATATCACACATTATCTGCTATCACAGCATATTATTTGCCCGAATTTATCAAAATTAAATTGCCGGATAGATGAAGGAGCTTACCTGCAGGATTTTTCAATCCAGCCGAAAGACCGTCTAGAAAAGCCTGCCTTGATGATGTTACTGATTTGTCGACCCAAACTTTCGCTTGAGTATGTCCAGCATTCACCCACGTTTCGTCCAAATAGTAAATTTTTCTTTTTTCATCGCGAAACTTCCGAATCTTCCTAAGGTATTCCCTTCTCCACACAACAATTTCTTCTTTCTCTATTAACATACTGTTTCTTCCCCGTTTCAAGAATCGAAAATTAAGTTCCTTCAAAAGTTTTCGGAATGTGGTTCTTTTAAATGATGGAAGATCCTCATCAGCATTAACTAATCTTAATATCTTATCTACTGTAGGTATCTCATTTCGGAAGAAAAAATTATGCACTTTCCTCCTGATGGCAGTTCTGTCAAAGTCATCTACTCCGTCCGTTATCCTTTTTCTTGCAGGATACGGTTTTGGCTCAGAAAGTGAGTGAGTGCTCCTATATTCCTTAATGATCCTATAAACACTGGACCGACATACTCCAGAAATATGTGCTACTTTACATATAACTTCGTCCACGACCAAATCGGGTTTTTCTTGAATTTGGTTTTTGTATATATTTAATATTATTTGTTTTTCATTTGCACTTAAATGTAGCTTCTTAGCCCTTTTTTTGGGTGGGGTTGCGCTGATGTCAACCACTTCGTCGGCTGTATCTGTGTCAGACATCGTATTTTAGGCAATATATAAACAAAACGTTCCACTCGCGAAAAACGAGTATACGCTACTGAATGCGTAATGCGTATGCAATGCAATCCTGTGCGTGAAGTAACTGTTAGATGCCTGTCGTGTCATCTACAATCACGTTTACAAGTCCAAACCTGTGCAGATTCGTAGAGCGCCGACGACTGCTAGTGAGCTTGAATTTGTCTGTAGATCGATGTTACTCCAGTCAATTTAGGTTCAAAGTGGATGTTTTCTAAACCAATTTGTTGTTCCTACATCAAAAATATATCGATGATGTTTTGTACTGGGAGCTCATGAAAGATCAAGGTAACTTATTTTAACAGTCATCCTTTTTCTAGTCTCAAGATGACACGAAAAAGGGTCTGTGGATTCACTAGAAATACACTGCCGAGGATGTTTAGACCTAAAGTGACTGGAGTATATCCGTGGATGCTTTCGAGGGATCTGTTCACGTGCTGATCACTGTTTACGTTTAATGTCTTTCTTCAGCGCCCAGAGTTTAGATAAGTTTTTTGTTTAAAAAAACTTCTTTTTAAAATCTCTAATAAGATTTTATTCACCTAAGGACGTACAGGACTCAAAGACGTACAGAAATCGAATTGTTCTACCATCATATTTTACAGAAGGTATTCCTATCAAGATACAAAGGAATGCTATTTCTTAGCTTACAGTACAAAAAAAACATATCTCACAATTTCTCAGATAAAGGACGTATAGCGTTAAGTGGGGCATGCTAGGATGTCTACGGCATTAAGAGGGGTAGCTGGTCTCTTAACTCCTCCCTATTCCGTATAAAATTTACCTGGTACAAGAACTTAATAAAGACGATTTTGATCGGCGATTACAATTTTGTGAAGATATGAGTGAACGAATTATAAACGATGAACATTTTCTATTTAACACTTACCTAATGTTCCTTTTTCTTAAATGGCGTAGTAAATCGTCATAACTGCCGATATTTTTCAGATTCTAATCCCAGAATTTATCATGAGATTCATACACAGCAGCCACAAAAATTAAATGTTTGGGCTGGTATCTTTGGCGATCATTTAGTTGGTAATTTTTTCTTACCTGGAAATTTGACCGGTGAAATGTATTTTTAATTACTGCATTAACAGCCATAATTGAAAATCAGAATTATCGGCGGTACATTGCGAATAGGTTGATGTTCCAACAGGATGGTGCCCCACCACATTACGCATTACGTGTTCGACAATATTTTCACGTTTCCAGATCGAGGGATTTCTTTATGTGGGGTCATTTAAAAAGCAAAATCTATGCTACTCAGCCAACATCATTAGAAGACCTGCGACGAAGAATTGTGAATGAGTGCCTTCAAATTACTCCTCAAATATTGCAAAATGTGCGGCAACGTTTTGAACAAAATCTTTATTATTGCATGAAGCGTCATGGTGGCCATTTTCAACATTTACTTGCCTAACGGGTCAGTTCATTCTTCATTTTTAAATTACTTTGCTGCCAAATGTTTTGATCTCCATTAATGATGATGTATTAGTTTTATTTAAGCTTTAAGTCAAACTACTGAACTGAAGTACATTAATTTTATATCAATATAAAATTGAAAGACCTTTAAAATAAGGTATCACTCGACCCCCCTTTCCATTTAAGATTTTGGGGGTGGTGTCAACCCCGCTTAGGGGGCTGCACGTGCTAACGTGATTTTTTGCCAAACTTGTGTCCCCCTCGAAAACAAAATCGACGGATCTGAGCTGAGCTGTCAGTAAATGCGTCTGTTTAGTTTTCGATGCGCCACCCTGTATATAGTGATTTTACTTAGCATTTTGTGTATTTTATTTTTCAGGAATTCACACCAACTGAAATAAACAACCTTCCCCTGAACACGATGCTGTACGACGAGCTGCACCGAATCCCGCCCGATGACTCCGAAGACTCTGGCAGCGAGTCAGATTCCAGTTCAGGTTCCGACTCCTCCTCAAGCGGTTCGGATTCAGACTCTTCCAGCGGGGTGGAGGATTGCAAATTGTGCAAACACACAGCACTGAAGAAATCGCCCAACCCTCACGCTACTGCCAGTGCTACACCTGTCATTGTTTCCACAGCAGTTCCGGTCACAGTCGCCACAGTTATTCCTGTTACCAAGTGACGTTTTGCGAATCCGAGACGCTGCTATGTGGTCACGAAGTGATCCGATTACGCAGAGGAGTGTACGGTGAACCGGAAGTGAGTTTTCGGCGCGAGTTAGTCGAGTCGAAATTAAAAAAAAAAAGATTTTTGTAAATTCTAGTATACTCTTTGTTATTTAACGCAGAAGCTTCCTCAACTCTTTGAACTGCTGCAATTTGTCAAAGGTAATGTTGATGTATGATGTATGATGAATTTCATTTTGGCAACTTGCAACTCGAATTTCATCTTTGCTAAGTATTTATGTTCATTTTAATCTTTTCGTTTTTTTTTAACTTGCGGCGATGCGCTGCTGTTTATTGCATCTTGCAATGTGTACTATGTAAGATTATATAGATAGGCGTATTTCGTAGTAATTAAACTTTATATCAAGGAATATATTCAACATGTACAGTACAGAGATAATCCTGTGATTTTTGGTTAACATTCTTTCTACAATAAAGATTGAATATCAAGTAACTGAACTGCTTTTATTTACAACAAAACATTTTCCTCGCAGCTATGAAGAGTTCTTCCGTAACTCCTAAAGTTAAGAATTCTGAGTTGTAAAAGGCTTTGAAGAAATTATTTACGGAATTTATACAAATTTCAAGCTGGATTCAGGAAGAAACACTCAACTGAATCGGCAATACATATGTGTTTAGAGGACTGGAAGAGATGTATGGACAATAGGAAACATATACTAACGGTGTTTTTGGACTTCAAAAGGGCGTTTGAGACAGGGATAAATTACGTACAAAATTGCATCACAACGGATTTAAAAAATTCTCCAAAACTACTTAATTGACAGTCAAAAAAACAAAATTGGATCCACATTATCAAGGTCAAAAAATATTTCTGTTGGTGTACCACAAGAAAGTAAACTAGGTCCACTACTATTTATTTTATACATTAATGCCATTTGTAATATTTTAGATTATTGTAAACTTCAGATATTTGCAGATGATACATTAATATACATATCAGATGAAAATATAGACACTGCTTTAAAATCGCTAAATTTTGACTAGGCAAAAATCATAAATTGGTTAAATTTAAATAAACTAAAATTAAATACTCCTAAAACAAAATGTATGCTAATAGGGAAATACCTAAATGAAAATACTATCACAGTCAGGACGAACAGTGAAATAATTGAAAATGTTGAATCAATTAAATATTTAGGTATATATACAGGGTGATTGGAAATTCGAACTATTCTCTATTTCAGGGTGTCCCGAAAAAAGTGTGCAATATTCTACCAGCGGTTTCTAGAGTTTAAAATAGGATGAAAAGTTTATATAAACATAGGTCGACAAGCGTCCCCTAAGGGCGCTACGGTCTTTTAAAGTGGCTCCCCTGAAGATGGTTTTTCCTTAATATTTCCGAAATGTGTTGAGATAAAGTCATAAAATTTGGTATTCTAGCCTAGTTTTTTTATGCTTTATTTAAAAATATTAACAATTTTAGACAGTTTTTCTTGGAAGCGTATGTAACAGGGACGGACTCAGGTTATTAGAGCCCCAAAATTTTTGTGTGATTCTATTTTTGAAATTCGATTTAATAATTTGAAAATTTAGGGTTTTCTACATAAAAAGGTACTCTTATTGAATATCGATAAATTGTGCCATTTTTGAATAAAATCAAACTAAAAAATTTGTCACATGTTAGGAAATGTACTGAATTTAAATGTGTTGATTATACATATTTAGCCATGACTGCAAACAAAAGTTGTTTTGATTTGTTATGACTTATTTTGACGTTAATCTGGCATTGTTAGCAGTATAAAAAAACTAGATTAAAATCAACATTTTTATTAAATCGATTTAAAATGCTAAGATTTACAGACAGAGAACTGACTGACATGCATTTTGTGTACGGGTTTTGCAATGGCAATTCATTGACAGCCGTAAGAGAATATCAAAGAAGATTTCCCAATCGCATAGTACCTCGACATCGAATGTTTACTGATATTCACCGGAATTTGTTAAAGCATGGAAGTTTTCAGCGCATGCAGGGCTCAGGAAGGCCACTGGGAAATCATCGTATGGATATTGCTTTAAATATGTATGAAAATAATCCCCAAATAAGCATACGAAATGTTTCAGAAATATGGATATACCTCGATCAATAGTAAGAAAAATGTATGAATACCTATCTGATAGTTATCCTAAAAATAATAATTTTAGATAGGAAGAATGACAAGAATGCAAAGATTACATCCTTATCATTTTAAACGGGTGCAGCATTCAACGGAAGCAGATTTTTTACCACGAATCGAGTTTTGCCAGTGGATATTAGCAAACGAAAACACTATTCCGAGAATATTATGGTCGGATGAGTCAATATTTACGAGGAATGGTGCTTTTAATTTCCATAACATGCATCACTGGTCAGATGAAAATACAAAAGTTGTTCGCCGTACAAATTTCCAACATAGATTTTCATTGAATTTATGGGCAGGAGTAATTGGGGATCAAGTAATTGGGCCTATTGTACTTCGCAATCGTCTTAATTCAGAGGTGTAGCTGAACTTTCTTCAGAATGAGCTCATGGATATAATACCATAGGATGTGCGCCAGCAGTTTCAAGAAAATATGTTTTTTCAACATGATACTAAAATTAAAGCACATTTTGGACGCAATGCTCGAAATTGGTTGAATGTCAATTTTCCAGACAGACGGTTAGGCCGAGGAGGTCCTATAGCGTGGCCGCCACGTTCACCTGACCTAAATCCATTGGATTTCTATTTTTGGGGTCATTAAAAGACCTAGTTTACTCGACTGAAGTAAATACTCAAGAAGATATACTTCAAAGAATCCATCAGGCTGCAAATGAAATAAGAAGACAAAGGTTTTCCACTTTTCGGGCTACGCAATCAGTAGTTCGTCGAGCGAGACTCTGTATCCAACAAAATGGGAATTTATTTGAACACTTATTGTAAAGCTAGTTTTAAGTATATCGAACTGTACGTCTTCTTTTTTAAACAAATTTCAATTTCGTTCGCAGAAAAAAATTATTTCTTTTGTTTTTGCCTAAATGTTAGCTATGTTGCAATAGAAATATGTATTTAAGTAATATTTACCAATTATTAAATTAGTTTTTGCGTTGCCATGGCTAATTATTCAACAATTCATTTAAATTCGCAGTACATTTCCTATCATGTGACAAATTTTTCAGTTTGATTTTATTCAAAAATGGCACAATTTATCGATATTCAATAAGAGTACCTTTTTATACAGGATGTTTCAGTTTATTGTTGCATAACTTTAAGATTCGATAGAACTTTTAAAATTAATGCATAAAGTTTATATAAACATGGGTCGAAAAATGCGTGGCTTCCGAAATACAGGGTGTTTAAATTTACTTTCTAAAGTAGTTTTTTTTAAATATTTCGAACAATATTTGATGTATAACAGTGAAAATTGGTATACAAGGGTTTTTTGGTACGACAAAACGAACCATAGTTTTACTGTAACCGCTAGAGGTCGCTCTCTACTGTACCTGTAGTGTATTAAAATGACAGAAAATTTTTTCTTAGTGCAATTTTTTGCTTTTTGAATAAAAAAACTGATTCTTCGCACTTTTCAACATAAAAAAGCTCTCATGTGAATTTTCGTTTCAGTTAGCCGTTTTTGAGATATTTCGATTTTTGAGGTTCGATGCATTTTTAATTATTTATGATAAAATAACGTTAAAAAGTCAGTGTCTCGATAATTTTTAGAAGTAGGCTGTGCTTGCAAATATATTTGAAATTGAAAGCAGAATAAGGTTAAACGTCAATTAATTGACAGTTAGTTTTGTTGTCTGTTGAAACCTGAAACGTTTTTTTGCAATTGTGAATGCACGAAATTTAGTTTCTTTTACCAGTTTTTTTTGTAAGTTTTATAAAATTGCCATTTTTATTCTCCTATCAATAGTTAGCGGATATTCATTTTGTGTATGGCTTTGTAAATGGAAACGCAGCAGAAGCAGCCAGAGAATACGCACGAAGATTTCCAAACAGACGACATCCAACTCGCTCAGTATTTGTAAGAGTGCATCGCCAAATAATTGAAAATTGTTTTGGAAATCTCCAAAGGGATCAAAACATAAATGTTCGTCAGCGCAGATTTACCCGTATGATTCTGCGTGAGTTTGATAGAGATCCGACCACAAGTGTTAGGAGAGTTTCTGGTGCCTTGGGAATTTCTGCAAGCCATGTTCACCGTGTTCTTAGAAATGACCATAGACGTCCTTACCATTTGCAACCTGTGCAAGGACTACAGCCAGGGGACGGAGAACGAAGAATCACATTTTGTCAGTGGATTCTTGATAGAACTGATAATAATAGGGAGTTTTTAAGTAACGTTTTATGGACCGATGAGTCATGCTTCACTAGACGTGGAGTGGTAAATTTTCATAATCAACATAGTTGGTTGCATGAAAATCCGCATCCAGTTCGGGAAAGAAATTTTCAGCATGAATTCAGTGTGAACGTGTGGATTGGTATCTACCGTAATCGACTATTTGGACCCTACCTTTTGCCTGCAAGGTTAAATGCTGCGACCTTCTTGCAATTTTTAAAGGCTGAACATGCAAATATGTGGGATGATGTTATGTTAGATTTAAGAAAATTGGCCTGGTTCCAGCTTGATGGTTGTCCAGCTCATTATTCGAGAATAGTTAGAAACTGGCTGGACGAAAATTATCCAGAAAGATGGATCGGCCGTGGAGGACCAGTCGCCTGGCCTCCACGATCCCCTGACCTAAATCCATTAGATTTCTTTGTGTGGGAATTTCTAAAAGAAAAAGTGTACCAGACTCCCGTAACCACAAGAGATATGCTAATAGACAGAATCAGGAATGCATGTGATGAAATAAGGCCTTATTTGAATAATGCTATACCACGTTCGATCATTCGTAGATGTGAATTGTGTATTGAACAATTGGGTTTACATTTCAAGCAACTACTTTAGATTTTGTATGTTTGTCCTAACTATCCAATCGCATTTTAGTTGTAAATAAGTAATTTAATTTGTTAAAAATAATATTGGAAAATTATACAAATTAATATTCTGTTTTTTGTGTTTATTTGGAGTTAGGAATTATTGCTGTGTTTAAAAACACAATCTAAACGATCATCTTAATTACTTGTAATGCTCAAATCGAAAATGTAAAAAAAATATTATTTTCCCATAAATAATTAAAAATGCATCGAACTTTAAAAATCGAAATATCTCAAAAACGGCTAACTATAACGAAAACTCACAGGAGAGCTTTTTTATGCAGAAAAGTGCGAAGAATCAGTTTTTTTTCAAAAAGCAAAAAATTGCACTAAGAAAATTTTTTCGGTCATTTTAATACACTACAGGTACAGTAGAGAGCGCCCTCTAGCGGCTACAGTAAAACTATGCCCATGGTTCGTTTTGTCGTACCAAAAAACCCTTGGATACCAATTTTCACTGTTATACATCAAATATTGTTCGAAATATTAAAAA